CCTGCGGGGGGAACTGTGCAAAAAACGCATCCTCGTACCGGCAGCCGGTACGCTTTCGACTAGGTTATTTAGACATAAATTGAGTAGACGGATCAGACCAGTGCGATTGCGGGACCACTGAGAACAGCGTTGAGCAATTTTTTTGTGTCTTTGCTCATGGACAAGACTTAAAAAAAAGATGGTTGGTTCGAGCTTTTCCAAGATGAATGCACATATGAAGCTGTATAGCAACGAACATTTTCTTGACAGCAAGCATCCGCTGGGCAAAGCAATGCAAGTGCATATGCTCGCATCGGTGTGCTAACTTATCCAAGTTATTCCGGAAAAGAGCTATCAAAGCAATCTTTTTCAACATGTTCTAGAAACTGAGTAGATTGTACACTTGCCGTGCATCAGCAGGGTTCTATCGGTCTCGTGATAAGTGTCGTAACTTGTGTTACAGCTAAATCTGAAACTTTTAGAACCATTCGAGTATTCCACGTGGGCTATCATACTGCTTGTCTCTATTCAAGCGGCCGCGTTTTCGATATTTGTTTTTGAATGGTTAGGTCCAAAGAGCTATAATATGCAGCGGTATCCGCCGCCTGGTAAATATTCAAGAGTTTTTGAAAATTCTTCTCCAAGTTGCACTAATGTTTTATTACGATATTCTTTTTTCACCTGTCCGCGTGCCTGTCTCTCCGCCAATTGTTCAACAAAACTGAAATCAAATAAAGAGAAAAAATGACAGTCAATTAAAATAGCTACAAAACTTCGCCTTTTCTAATCTATAAATAGGTACAAATATCTTATATGTAGTTTTTATGCTATTTCTATTTTCTCCTTCTCATGACTCATTACAGTAATCCTACCCCTACCCCATCTTAATCTTATTCAATAATCTTCACATTCCTTCCAATTCCATCCTTTTCTTAGTCAACAACTTTTTTTTAACGCGCCTATCTAGCGCCTTTTGGGTCTTCATCACCGGAATGGAGGAACATTCCTTCACATCTGGGGTGGATCCTTTAGCCTCCATATAAACCCCCATTTCCCTCACTCTTGGTTCTGGTTCCAGTTTCTGGTCCTCGTCCTGTTCTCGGTCTCGACTCCAATTAATTCTACACGTCTGTCTTCAACTCCACTCTCCGCGTCCTCACACTCGTCGACTGGACCTCACGGGACTTTAGCAGAGCTCATCGCCTTCCACCAACCTATGGTTAGGCTGGCATAACCGTTGCCTTGATTGCTGTTTTCTGTCCTTTTTAACATCCAATAAACGCTTCCCTGTGTACCTCGCGCCACAACGACCACCACATCCATCCCACATTTACTATTGCAATATTTTCCTGCACATTAAGTTTTTTGCGAGTTTTTTATCTGAGTCTTTTTTCTAAGCCTAAGCCTGCTTTTAGCTGTAAGAATTGAACTTTTTGCTAAATTTGTAGAAGAGTTAGGCTAGTTTTATCATGCTTATTTACTAGTAAATTTTTGTTTATGTAGTGGAGGCGGAGAACGATATGCAAGGGATGTTAGCCTTCTAATCAATAGCCTACTGCCTATGATGAGCTGTGTATAGATAAAAAGCTTTTTGGTACAAAAGCGTGCTTTTTGTTTCGAATTCTTTTGTTAAGATCATAATTTTTCGCTATGCAGAGCTTATTGGTTGGTATGGGCAACATTGTTTGGAGCAAGTGTTTCTACTGGTAAGCTCAAATATTCTTGTATTCTGTTGTATTTTTGTTCAAAATGTATTTAAGAAAGTGAGCAATAGAAATCAAATATCGCTTCAGTAGAGCATAAGACAAAAGTGTAAAGGAGTTAGTTAGATGCCACCATGCCTGCTCGTTTTCAAAAACTTTTTCAACAAATACTGTAATTTTTCCAAGCTCTTCGTCCTTAAACCTAGATTGTACTTACTGAAATTCAAAAACTCGGGACTTGACATTATTCGAAGCATGCAGGATAAAAGGTGAAACAAATAAATGACTAATGTTTTACTTTCTTGAAAAGCAAAAAATTGATATCCTTGTCTGGGAGGAATCGGGACCATGGCCTTACTCTGGTTATTTTCCCGTCAACAAAAGAAACAAACGAAATCCAGTTCAAATTGTTTTACTACTTTTTTCCAGGCGTGCCAGACAAGGTAACCTGGATGGAAATGTTTTTTAAATGCTGGAGTCCTGTCTTCTCATTTAGATGCGACCAGACATAGAGCATAACTTTGATGATTTTTATACCGCTAAAACCGTTTTGCCTTTTTCATAGAGCAGTTTTGCCTTTTTTGAACATTTGTTAACCTGCCTGCAGTTGGCTTTCAAACGCTGCGTTTGTCTGAAAATGAAATGCACCATTTCCCGGAATTGCTAAGTGCTGCCAGGATTTGCACTTGGCCATATTTTAACAGCCATCTAAAGTGAGTGAAATACTTTCATAAAATATTGCTTAAAATATGCAGTTATTTACAAAACTGCTTGTACCGAGAATTTAGACATACCGCGTTCAATGGTTAGCCGCTTTATGGCACTGGTTTGGGCTGCTTTTGGGCTTACTTTTGTTGCTGTTTACACTGCCAACTTGGCCGCTTTCATGATAACGCGAGTGCAGTATTATGACTTCAAGGGCGTGCACGATGAAAGAGTAAGTATCAGAAAATATAAAATTTTGGCTAAAACTGCAAGATTTAATTTTTTAGTTTTTTTTCTTGTGAATTAATTTTATCCTCAGTATTTTAAAGACTGCTTTTCGATGGACGATTTTTCGCATTTGTGCAACTGGTTCAGAATCAGAAACAAGCTCTTCTCTACAAGGATGAAATTAATCATTTGTAGACGAGAACTGCGTACAAACATTCCCTCTCTCATTAATACAGACCAGTGCTGAACCAATTGTCATAAAATTGAATTTTGACCAGTTAGTTCTTTTCCAGCTAATATATCCAGAACGTTATATACCTCCTTTTCTTTACGGAACAGTGGAAGGTGGAAATACGCATGAGACAATGAAGAGAAATTGGTTGCGCATGAATCAGTATGTTACTAACAAGAAGCTGTTCCGTGATAATATTATGGCAGGGATTCGTGCAGTGAAAAACGAGTTATTTTTTAATGAATTTTTCTGCTACGCTAACACCAGCAAAAAATTGGGACAAATTTTCAGAGAGCTTTTAAATTATTGTCTTAGAGAATTGCACGCCTTTATATATGATGCTGTGGTGCTCGACTATCAAGCTGGCAAAGATTCGAAATGCGAGCTAATGACGGTCGGCAAGTGGTCAACAGTGACGGGCTATGGTATGTTTTGGCCTCTTAATTCCCAATGCTGAGTAGAATAATATCGCACTGTTTGGTTCTTGCAGCAATAATGGAATTTTTGGAAAGTCTTGCGCGAGAAATCCGACATAAAAATTGGGCAATAGTTCAGTTACTAGATTTATATTAACTTATACGCTCGAATTTCAGTAAAAGGCATTACATAACTCTTTGCACTTGACTAAAGCATTCTCTACACTTGGCTGTGTCCTGTCCTTTGGGCCTGAAGGATGATCGCGGACTCTGATGCGTACGGCTAATATAAAAAGTGTATAAATGCGAAAAAGTAAATTGTTTTTGAAGGAAGCATAATACACACGAAATTTACGAAATTGGAATTCAGAAGTTAGAAGGCGAGGGTGTGTGTGAGCTGGGTTAGAGGGAAGATTGGGTTACTGATATACTGGAATAAGGTGTGGATTTAGCACTTTACGTCTGTAGCAGATAACTGCGAGAAACTCTTTGCTGGGCCGAGTGTCTAATGCAATTTTTTGCAGGGATTGGTTTCCCAAAGAATTCGCCACATGTGCAGAAAGTGAATCGTTTCATGCTCCAGTACCAGCAAAACGGTAAATCTCATATGAATTCATCTAGCCAGAATGACTGCGGGATCACTTATGACTGCGCACATGTCATACGTCTGAATGAAAAAAAAAACTGTTAGCGAAGAAAAATTAGTAATATTTTCTCAGAAATAGCATCTTTTGTCACATTACACTGTTTCGCGATGAGCTAGATAATCGTGCAGCAGCGAATAGTGAAACAAAATATTCAGTGAAAAAATTCAGGTGATCTTGAAAGGTTACAAAACTTCTGGATGACTGGCGCATGCACACCAGATTCAAACAGTCAAACGAGAAGTGCTCCGCTTGGAATTGAGAATTTCATGAGCGCATTCTTCTTACTTATTGTTGGAATTGTAAGCTACTGATATTTTACAGTGCTTCCGATTTTATACGCTTTTGCATGAATTAAAAACATGCTTTTTTATATATATATCTTGTTGTGTTTATTTCTTCGGCCGCTTTCTGGTTGAGCTTCAGAGCTACGAAAGCTAGAAAGCTGAAATTTCAAGAGTATAATCTGTGGTTATTCGTAGAGTCGAAAACACAAAGCCAGTTAAATCTCCTTTGGTTCTGAAAGATGACTTCAGGATTAGTTTCAGACTGACTTTCTAAGAATGCCGGCACTGAACGAACAGTCGGATGCACATCCTATTTTAGTAGTTTTCCCTGGGACGCACCTGTACTGCTGGGCGCGTATGCTATCCTTCGTTCAGGAGCGGGGACTGTTGAGTTATTGGATTTCTGCATCACTGAAGCAATAGCGCGAAAATTCATCATAGTTGAATGGTATCTGCGTGTGCCGCCTATTTGTTTGCCTGATCACATTCAGTTCTGGAACTGCGAAAGTTAGAAAGATAACATTTGGAACAAAGTTTGTATTAGCTACAAACCTGATGCGAACTTAACAGCAGTTCTGCTTCCTGATTTTAAATCTTAATTAAATTTAGGCGATTACCACAGCTCGGAAAACAAAAAAGTTATAGCTTGAAATTCGAAGATTTTTATTTGTTCTCTGTAAAAAGCTACCCGCCCAATACATGTTACTACTGGATGCCCTAATCTGGTGCTTAATTTCAGATAGTTGGTTTAATCCTACTGTGTTTTGAATATTTGTTTATTTATCAGCTGCAGAGATCTCTACGCCATCTAGACACTGCCGGATGTTACGGTCTGATCAGTATGGTAATTTGCGATTCTTACAGCGTTTTATCACCATTTTTAAAAAATCGGTTTTTCACGTCGCTGACTTCTGTAGTTCCAGGGATTGGGCAAATTGCTTTCCTCCAGAGCTGTTAACCGTGTAACTGAATGGCGACAGTACAAGTTATCATTTGAGTCTACAAATAATTTAACTGCACAGCTGAAGAAAGTAACAACGGAATGCAGGTAAATCAGCTCCATAATCAAACTTACCTAATTTCGCCCTAGCTCAGCTTTCCCAGATGTTAAATCACAGGAACAGAAGTTTATTGAAACGAAAATACTGAAATAACGTGGAAACCCAGGCTGGATCGCACCAGGCGGGCCGGTGCGATTATGCGTTTTTGCACTTTTCGTACCGTAGCAAGATCGCAAGGA